TATCATTATGGGGTTTGGACTATATTATAGAGTATCCTTACACCCCTCCTTATACTGAGACTACACATTACTATTATGGATGTTGGTTGTATTAGAACGTACTATAACCACCTCTTTCTCACATTGTAACCATGCAAAAATGTTGGTGTGCAGACTGTGATACATTTAAATTATTGTGTTTGTCACTTTAGGGAAGTCACACCCTTAGTTGCATGTTGTATTGTGAAATGTTACCATTATTTTAATCACAGAAGCACACCCACATTATTAAAGGGCAAGAAAGCAGACATTCTTTAATGCTATCTAGTCCATTAATGCCTGTGGTTTTGATGTTCTTTTATTATTATTATTATTATTATCCGTCTCAGTGTCAAACCAGAGTTCCTTCAATTCTATATTTTAGCAGTGCAATCGGTGCATTATATTAATTGTGGGATACAGCTTAATAGTTAAATAGGAAGGACACCTCTTTGTAAAATCTATTCCTGTAAAGCAAAATTTAACTATGATCTTATACATGTTCACATATTTCATCAAAAGCATATTTGACCTCAGCCCAATAGAGGACCTTTGGGATGAATTAGAGTGGAGCCAAGCCAGGTCAGGCTTCCCGTACAACCACAGTGTCTGACCTCACAATGCGCTTTTGAAACAGTGGTCAAAAATTCCCATAAACACACTCGCAAACCTTGTGGAAAGCCTTCCCAGAAGAGTTGAAGTTGTTATAGCTGCATAGGGTGGGCCCACATCGTATTAAAAAATATGGATTATGGGCTGTCACTCAAGTTCATATGTGTGTGAAGCCACACCAGCGAATACTTTTGGCACATATAGTGTATCAAAAGAGGCTCTGTCCATGGTGCTGAACAACAGCGACATTACTCAAGCTAACCGAAATGTGACAAGCATACCAGCTAATCTGAACACGTTGAAGAATGTAATAGTATATATGTGTGTGCTTTCAGGGGAAAGCAGCAGTATCATTTGCATCAGAGTCGCGATTTTCTCTGAGCAACACCTTTTTCTCTGAAGGCGCATACATCACCATCTGCTCCCACCTACAATGAATGAATAAACTGGATACAATGTTGCGATTCAGTATTTCATAAGATTTGTTCTGCCAAGGCAAAAGGGAGAGCAGTATGTTGTTCTAAGAGTAGGTCAGTGTTTTCAATTTAAAGATCCCATTTAGGCATTCTTATCCAGGCTTGTGTGTAATGCGATTATTTGTGTTTGAATACACTGCTTCCTCTTTTTATTAAAAAAAATAAAAAGAGGAATTTATATTCAAAGACATATAAATGGCTGCCCTCAGCCTTCTGTAGTTAAGTAAAATTTCTCTTGCCACTTAAACATCACAAATGTGTATGTCATAAACTGGAACCTTCATCACTTCATGAGTAATTACAATTTCTCTTTAGTTCAAGGTCAGTGTTGACATGGGCAGACATGTTTTACAGGAAATATGCAGGGTGTGATGGATTAAATATGGGTGTCTTGAGTGACTTTTTAAAGAGAGACGTCTCTGCAGCTGACCGTGCAACCTTTCCACTGTCATCAGCATGTGTTTTAAACTGATTCCTCTTTCCAGGAAGAGAAGCCACATGGTATTTGGGTTGTTTCCCTTCTTTGGTGTTTTCTGCCCACCACTCACTGTCTAATCTCTTTTATTTCTCTCCAAGGTTTCCTGTAATCACCCCTTCAAGCCTCCATTCCATGATCATCGCAAGCAATCATTCACCAGTGAAGAGTAAATGAATGTTATTCAAATGAAAGCTGTGTTTTTAGGTTTCCGCTGAGTTGCTGTGGAGGTGGCAGTACCTCAGATACAGGCATTGATTGACATGCTTGATTACTGATGCTGGTGATCACCAGACAGGTAAGTTAATGACTGAATACCTCACCTGTATAATTTGAAGTGAAGCAAGCTAGTATGCTATGAATTAAATAAAGTGAGCTATGACCCTTACACATGCTAGCATTTGTACATTAAGAATGGAACAGCCTCAAAGTAGATCTTTAACCTCCTAGGACCTGGCATCCACATATGTGGACATCACATTTTGGGTTATTTAGACCAAAACACTAAATTTTGCTCTAGAAGGGCCTGATATCCACCTACGAGGACATTATACTGCTACAGTTCTATCAAAATTTTAAACAAATATCCTCATATGTGGCTCTTATTTTTCTTAAAAACAAAAATAAGGTAAAAAATAAAATCTGGTAATTCTTTGTTTTTACATTCATCGGGCCCCAATATGCCCAAATATCAAAGAGAAATTAAAAATGAATGCTGTGGAAGAGTTCGGGTCTTAGGAGGTTAAGGCTCATCTTCAGCACCATATTTTTTTACTGCATTCTACTAGCTTTGCTTGATTCATCTTTGAAAATCATCCTGATTTATTTGAAGTAGGCCTGTGCCTGAGTTTCACTGTCTTAAACAAGTTAATTTAGGGCCTTCCCCTTAACTTTAACTTAACCTTCTTCTGATTGGCTGGCCCCTGCAATCAGAAGGTTTGATTTATTAAATTAAAATATTCTTATAAGCCGGTCTTATTCTTTAAGTCTACATAAAGCCAACAAGGTGCCAGAAACATTCCTCAGAGATTTTGTTCCATATTGACACGATAGCATCACACATGAGAATATCCTGTTCCACCAATTTAATTTAACTTTGTTTTGTTTTATTTTATTTTATTTATACATATGCCTTTGAAACATGCCTGTAGTTTAACTAGTTCACATGTGTCATCTAGCTTCATGGAAAGATAAAGCTGGACATCATTTACAAAGCAGTAAAAATGTATGCTATGCCTTCTAATGATACTGCCTAAGGGGAACATGTATAATGTAAACAGAACTGGTCCTAGCACAGAACCCTGTGGAACTCCATTATTAATTAATCTATTAATCTCAGCATGTGAAGAGGACTCTGCATTAAATGAACAATCAGAAGTGTATTAGATGGATACGATTCAAACAACTGTAATGGAGTGCAGTAAAATATTGCGAGCAGTGTTAACAAATGCTGCACAGAGGTCTAACAGGACAAGCACAGAGATGAGTACACTGTAAGACGGTCATTATTAACCTTGCCTAATGCTGTTTCTGTACCGTGACAAATTCTGAATCCTTCCATCGCAAAGGTGTTGAGATTTGGTGACTGTGGAGACCATCCCAAGTACACTTAATTCACTGTCATGTTGAAGAAATCAATTTCAGATGACCTTTGAACTTTGTGTCCCAGCATGTTATCCTACTTGAAGAAGCCATCAAAAGATAGGTAAGATAGGCATAGATATCAGCAACAATACTCAGCTAGGCTTTGACTTATAAACGATACTCAGTTGGTACACAGATCCCAAAAGTGTCTAACTTGTATCTAACTGTTGATACAAATCAAGCTTTCATATGATTTCAAATACTGACCCTACCATCTGTTGCAGCAGAAACCAAGATTCATCAGACCAGACAATGTTTTTCCAATCTTCTGGTAAGCCTGTGAGAAGCTAGTTTGTAGCTTCAGTTTTCTGTTCTTGCTTGACATAAGTGGGTCTTGGCGTTGTGAGTTCAGAGATGCTCTGCTGTATACTTTGGTTGGAATGAGTGTCTCCATTCTCTCTCTGACCACTCAAAGAACTGCTGCTCGCTGGATATATCCTTCTTTTGGACGACTCTCTGTAAACCTTCCAGATGGTTGTGTGGGAAAAATCCCAGGAGACCAGCAATTTCTGAAAGATTCATACTAGCCTGTCTGGCACCAATAGTCAAAGTCACTTAAATCACCTCTGATGCTCGGTTTGAACTTCAGCAGGTCGTCTTGACCATGTCTACACATCTAAATGGATTGAACTGCTATGTGAACTTGCCATGTGATTGGCAGATCAGGTATTTTTCTTAAAGATCTGTTGAACAGTTTTACCTGAGTAGCCGGTGAGTACATAGGTATATGTTTTTTTCTCTCACACAAGTAGCCACATGTATTATAAAAAATCATCTGAAGATTTAGAGCAGTCTGAAGACTGAGCTGCTCCTCACAGGGATTTCTTGCCCAGAAAGCGACATCCTAATGTTTAACTTTCTCATTATGTAATTTGAGCTTCCATCATTTTAACAGTATACACATGATAGGAAATAAGGAAAAGCATAACAGAACCACTTTAAACACAGCTAGTATTAGTAATGGTTAAAGAAAACCCAAAACATACTTTTTATGAAACATAATCATCCTTGGCTGCTAAATGCCCTGTTTCCAGTTTCTTGTGAAACCCAAACCTAACAGAATAAGCCCATCACTGTGGCAGAGTGTCCAGAGAAACACAAAGTATCATCTTAAACACATTAAGCTTTAAAATTACTGGCTTTTACCCTGGCACCACACCAAAGCCCGTCATGTTCTTTGGCCCAGTGGTGGTACAGATCACAATGACAAAGCACTCAGTTTTCTCTCTCTAGGATTTAGATTTGTTGACCAAATAGAAGCAACATGAGATGGTGGTGTCTTATTTCTCTCAAATGAAAGTCTAATTTACTTTGTTTTGTCTTCCCCCAACAGTAGATCAACCACATGGCTCCCATCTTTTAAAGTGATGTTAGTCTGAATTCACATGTCAGAAGAAAAACTATTTGAGACTATGTGCTTTTTTTTGTCTCTAAGTAACCATCCAGACTACAACAACGGCAGCCCACAGCAGGCGTACGGGCAGATACATCTGGGATTTCGGAGTGTCAAAAACGAAGATCAGCTCTCTATCTTCTAGCTTACAGCAGGTTTTTTTTGTGCTGATGGGCAACCAAGATAATGAGCAAACATTCTAAAGGGTTTCTGATGGAAATGATCATTAATCCTGGTCTCCTGATGCGCAGTCAGGAGGACCAGCCGTGCGTGTAGCGCTGCTTCTGAACGTCTCCCCTCCCCTGTTTCTGCAGTGTTACTGTTTTCCCTTTCGCTCGTCGTTTCTTGTGCCAGTGCTGCCCACCGCGAGAGTAAGACAAGACTTCCATTCCACACCACACTCACACTCCTCTTTCTTGTGTGCCACCATCCCTCTGCTTGATATCCATCTTGTCCTGATCCGCGTACTGTGTGGTTTGCGTCCTCTCAATCCTTCACCATTCATTCACGCCCACTCTCATGTGCAGCCCTGTTTGGCTCCTTGCGTTATCCAGCTCAGGCAGAAGAGCGAGGGAATTTTTTTGCACTCAGTTTATTTTTCGGAAATAGAAAATACAATTAAATTCTCTTTTTTAAAATTAATACTTTCTAAGATTTTGTTGTTGTTGTTTTTTTGGACTGGTGTAATTTAATTTATTATTTTACGCATCAACACGCAGTCAGGAAAGGATAAAGCTGAAAGCGCCTCGTGGTTTTTGAATAATTTACTTAGCTTTGCGGAGGGTGTCGCGGTGGTGGAAGAATGGGAATTTAATGAGGGGAACTATTCCGGCTGTGTTAAGTTTGCTGAGGTAGGGTACTTGTGAAAGAAAAAAGAGAGAGAAAGAAAACAAGCACCGGGGAAAGCTACGCGTCATTTCCAAGACACCAGCAACAAGCCAACACCATTACACCAGCCTGCCGTGTGAATGGCACACGGGGTGTCTTCCTCTGTTGAACTGGTGCAGGGTAGCCACGCTGTGACCGGGATCCAACTGAGATTCTGGGCTTTCCGTGAGTATCAGTGGGGCAGCTGTGCGCACCAAATGGACCGGTCTGTTTGTCCCTCATGCTCAGCGTACTGATCATTTAATAGGATCTATTTTTTTTCCCTTTTAATTCTACATCTGTAATATCACTTACCTAGCCGTCTCAGAATCTGTTTCTAACTTAGCGTTTTGAATTGTCTCGAATCTGCAACAGCGGTGTTTTGTGTTAAGGTGCTGCTACTGGCTCACATTTATGGCTTTTATTTTCTTTCTTTTTTTAAGCTTCTCAAAATTCTCCGATGCGGAACACTCATTACTCTCATGATGGTTTTAAAAACTGACTTTATGGTATGCTCGTTTAAGATAAGCTGTATTTCCACAGAGCAGCATGAAAGATAAGTTCATCTCCTGAGGCTAGAACTTCCACTCTGGGTTGACTCACTGACAGCTGCATCCAGGTGAGTAATACAGTTTCTCACAATGTTTAAAATAGGAACTATAACTATAAGCTAAACAAAAGAAAGAAAGAAGGAAAGAAAAGAAACTAAGCAAGCCCCTGCATGAGAATTTTGCTTGCCCCCCCATTATACTAGACTCTTAGACTAACAGCTGCATGTAAATCCAGTAACACTTGTCTTAGTACTTAGACTGATGAGTGTGCTTAGAGCTCAAAACAACATCTCGAGAAACTCCGGTTTCTTTTCATTTTCTTCCACTTTTCTGTTCTGTTTTCCTTTTGTTTATGATTTCTAATGACTTTTCCTTCCCTAAATAGCAGAGATGACATTTATGAGGCATCTCAATACAAACTGAGTGTGCCACCATTTGAAAAGCGCACACGCTTACACACAAAACAAGTGCAGGCATCAAAGTGTGAGTCATTATGTGTTTACTTGCCAACCCTGGACCTTTGCTTAGCAAACAAGAACATGTTTGAGGATTAATTTAATTTGGGTCTGCTTTTTTTTAAAGGCTTGGATAATTATGGAATTATTGAAGGTTAGTAACTCTGTTAGATGGAAAGTGGCATCATGCTGGGTTTGCCAGTAGTTGGTAAAGTCTTCATGTTGCACTCGGGCTTTTAATCGCAAACATGTTAGAAATCAGCAGATCAGAGAACTGTAGTTTTGCACTGGCAGGATACTTGCACACTTTGAATAGATGTAATGTGACGAAGGTGAGGAGATTTCAGAGTGTGTGCTTGTGTTGACTAAAAAATGAAAACATCTGTATTCTTCAGGGGAAATGAATAATATGCTTCAGTATCTCATTTACTTGTTGCTACCTGGCGACTTTAGTAAGGAAAACATTATCACTAAATACTGCACAGAACAGAACGAGACATTTTTTTCTCTATAGTTTTCCTGCATTTCCACCAGTCGGAGAGCTTGCTTTTGCCATAGAAACATCACCCACTCAAAATTTGTGCAGGATTGTGTGCCAGATGAAAGCAACGTATTAATTAAATCTGCTTTCGAAAGTGAAGGAATCAGTGATGATATCAATATGTGATTTCACATAACAGTAATGAGGGATATTTCATTCAGTCCGAAAAAAAAGACTGTTTCATTGTCATTGATTGGAGCTGCCTGTTGCAGGAGTCGCTGTCCATGGTGCTGATCTCACTCGCTCAATCTGATCAGCAGACAGGTGTCGGGCTGTTGCTGTTGTTGTTGCACAAATACAATCTGTTAGTCACTTATTTATGAGCTAACAGCAGAAAGAAAGAAAAAAAACTGACGGCTTAATTCCTGCATCTGTGCTGCACCACTTCACCCTGAAACGTAGCCTTGATGGAAACCGTGCTCTCCTGTTATGCAGGTCAGATTGGAAAATGCTGCCTTTCACTGCCGCATGTCAATGAGAGCATGTGCCAAACATGCAGCTTTGCCTGACTGCTCCTGCTGTAGGTGTGCAACCTATTTCTGAGACAAGGATGGGCTTTTAATTTTCATTAGAAAACACCAGACACATTACTAGACATCTTTCCCTCTCCTCTTTTTTCACAGATGTTAATCCTTTGAAGAGTTTAGCACTGTACTCCCTGAAATGTCTATTCAGACCATTAAGATACTGCTGGCGGGGTGGGGGAGGGGGGTTGGCCATGGGGAATTGTTTTGTTTTTAGTTGTCCCCTGATGCCATTTCCATTGCTTATGTAAAATTTTAAACTACATTAAACTAAGCTAAACGGCAGATTGGCTGATCTCAGTGGTAGCCCGCATCTGCGGATTTCTCAGCTGATACCCATCTAAGCGTCAATCTCGTTAATTTCATATAGCACATGGTATTAAAATTGCTTAAGCCAGCCCACAAGTTGTTGTGCATATGCATGCTGCTTTGCAACCCCACTCCACCCTGTCATGCTCTGTCTGACTTAATGTTGTTAACTATGTTGGCAAATATAAATTACTGCATGTGGAATGGATTCTTTTAGGTAAGGTGGTGATGATTGAATTGCACTCAGGCATCCAGCTTTATATTTAATACTAGACCTGAGAGGTGTGTTGGACTCTCTAGACACTAGAGCTGTTCCTCCTTTAAATCATCCTATAATATATGTACCAGTAGGGCTACCTAAGAACAACTGCTCCTTTCTTGTTATTCTCGTTGCCAGTGGATATTATTTTTGGACTCCCATCTAACTCGACAGTACGGGGTGGACTGAGTCAGTTTTTCCCTCGATACTACAGGTGCAAAGGGTAACATTTTCACTGCGGTTTAGCACAGAATGACCACATTATATGTGTGGGAGTCGTACAGGGTAGTTCAATACCAGTGACTCAACGATTAGTAGGTGCCAATATTTCTGGCTCTCTAAACTCGGACCAACGAAACTGATGGATCCCACATCATTTGCATACAAAAGAGCACTTTTGTGGTGCCATATTGGGGTTATTTTGAGAATATAACTGAATAATGAACATCTGACATGTGGCTTTCTCATCCACCAGGCAAATTTCTTTTTTTTTTTCCCTGTCTTTCAGAGGTTCATGCGAACCTTCACATGTCACGTGCACTGATCTCTAGCATTAGAAGACTCAAAGCATCACCACACCATCATGTTTCTACACAAGCGTATCTTGAACTGCACTCCACCTGCCACACCATGCATGTTCATCTCTCTTCTGCTGGTTCTCCTCCCGGGAGTCACCCGTTTCTCCTACGGCAGCAGGGATGATGACATCGGCAGCAGCCCAGGCAACTGCTCCAGTGATGACAACTGCTCCGAGGGCGTGGTGCTGCCCATGTGGAATCCCCAGAACCCCGCAGTGGGTGACAAAGTGGCACGTGCCATTGTTTACTTTGCCGCTCTCATATACATGTTCCTGGGCATGTCCATCATCGCCGACCGGTTCATGTCTTCTATCGAGGTCATCACCTCTCAAGAAAAGGAGATCACCATCAAGAAGCCTAATGGCGAGACAACAACAACCACTGTGCGCATCTGGAATGAAACGGTCTCCAACCTGACCCTGATGGCCCTGGGCTCCTCGGCACCAGAGATCCTGCTGTCTGTCATCGAAGTGGTCGGCCATAACTTTGAAGCGGGAGCTCTGGGTCCCAGCACCATCGTGGGCAGCGCTGCTTTCAACATGTTCATCATCATCGCTATCTGTGTCTATGTGGTGCCGGAAAATGAAACCCGCAAGATAAAACACCTGCGGGTGTTTTTTGTCACCGCAGCCTGGAGCATATTCGCCTACATCTGGCTGTATCTCATCCTGTCAGTGTTTTCCCCCGGAGAAGTGCAAGTCTGGGAAGCAGTCCTGACCTTCCTCTTCTTCCCCCTGTGCGTTCTGCAAGCCTGGATCGCAGACCGCCGCCTGCTCTTCTACAAGTACGTCCACAAGCGCTACCGAGCCGACAAGACCCGCGGCATTATCATCGAGTCAGAGGGAGATGCCATGTTCACTAAGATGGACTTGGAGATGGATGGACAGGGTGTGAACTCTCACACTCACCCCAAAGAGGCTCTGGATGGGATGCTGGAGGGCGTGGAGGAAGGTGGTGGGATGAGCGCGGAACAAGATCAAGAAGAAGAGGCCCGCAGGGAGATGGCTCGTACTCTAAAAGAGCTAAAACAGAGGCACCCGGATAAGGACATGGAGCAGCTCATCGAGATGGCCAACTATCAAGTGCTGGTCCAGCAGCAGAAGAGCAGGGCCTTTTATCGCATTCAAGCTACGCGCATGATGATCGGAGCGGGGAACATCCTGAAAAAGCATGCAGCTGACCAGGCCAGGAAGGTGGTGAGCTGTCATGAGGCCAGCGGGCAAGAGGAAGATCCTAACACTATCTACCTGCAGTTTGAAGACTCTCATTATCAGTGCTTTGAGAACTGCGGCTCACTAAAGCTGACCGTGAGTCGGCACGGAGGAGAAAGTGGCTGCACTGTTAAGGTGAGGGGGGAAGGCACAGATATTGCAAATGCTCAAGGTCAATTTTAAATCACCTTTAACTGCCTGAGGCATAAAGTATTAATATTAATATTTTTATTACAACTCCAGCCACTACATATTTGATGTAGTTTTTTTTTCCCTGCACAGGTGGAATACCGGACGGAGGACGGGACTGCCAATGCAGGTTCAGACTACGAGTTTGCTGAGGGCACTTTGGTCTTCAAGCCTGGCGAGACAACCAAAGAGTTCACTGTTGGCGTGATCGACGATGACATTTTTGAAGAGGACGAGCACTTCTACGTACGCCTCAGCAACCCGCGCATCGTGCACAGAGCCGAGGTCTCAGTCCTGGAGCCGAGCTCCATCACCTCCAGCAACAGCATGGTGGGCCTTCCCTCCCATATCCCTCCGAAGGCGGCACTGGGCAATCCTCACATCGCCACCGTCACCATCTACGACGACGACCACGCTGGCATCTTTACGTTTGAGAGCAACTCCACAAGGGTCAGCGAGAGCGTTGGCAACATGCAGGTGAAGGTTCACAGGACATCCGGAGCACGGGGAAAAGTGGCTGTGCCCTACCACACTGTCGAGGGGACCGCCAAAGCAGGGGAGGACTACGAAGAGGTGTCCGGCAAGCTGGAGTTTCAGAACGATGAGACCATGTGAGTGCCAGTTCCTCTTGTTCATCACTTGATTAAACATCACCGCCCACACATTGGTACATTAAACTGTCCTGCTAGATTACTGTAAGTTATCTATTCTGGTAACGAATGAAAGGCCTATTTTTATGACTCACGGATACGTTTGCTCGGCGAAGTTTAGATCATTTCGCAGGGACGATGTGGGAGGATAAGAGGATATAATTGTGCGGCAGATAATGAAAGATCGTGGAGATTTAAAAGAACAAGAAAAAGGAGGAGAAGAGGAAGACGAAACCCAGAAACAGTTTCCTGTGAATGAATTAAATGCAGCCTGTTGGGATTTCTGTGGAAGTTCTGTTGAAGCTCATTGTAATGCACAACACTAAAGACTTCCCTGTGGAAAACAAAGGAAGCCCACACGAGCAACAGAGTACAAGAGGGGGAAAAAAATCAGACAGGTGACTTGCACGGCAGCTACAAAAACAGGTGCATGCACTGGAACCCGTGTGGTTATTTTAGTTAAAGCATTCGTGGATGCGCCTGCAGAGAGGAGGAGAGAAAAAGATGAGGGAGGCAGAGTGCAGAGAGCGAGGGAGTGAGAGAGCGCTGAAAGAGTGATGTTTTTCCAGCTTTTCTTTCTTTCTTTTTTTCACTTGAACGCTGTTTGAAAGGGCTGGCTGAATGATGAGTACACTTGTAGTGTTTGCTTTATGACGAGATGAGCAAAAGACCTGGCAGTTACGCAGAACGGTTATGTTTTTTTTTTAATTTCTTACTTTAAAAAAAGAAAGAAAATGCCCTCAACCGTACCGAGCTCATTACAAAATGATTTACTGCACGGCAAAGGACGAAACAAAGGAATCAAATGTGTCAGATGCATCCGTCTGCGCGAGGCTCTTGCGTAGGTGTATTGTGTAGGTTGGCCGAGTGGGAGGAAAGGCAGGTGAATACATGGTGTCAAAGAAAACGCAGATCTCCCTATTTGTCTTTCTTCTTTTTTTTGCCTCGTGGCGCAGGTGAAATTTAAATATGCTGCTCTGTTTTTAGCAGTTTTCTCGCGCACAATCTATGCTTTTTCTCCTTTTTATGCCTTAGTCTATGTGTATAATTAAGGCCGTATTAGAGTGCTGAATCTGCTTTAAACCCACATCAAGCAACATGTCGCTCCAAAGGGGAACTAAAAAGAGCTCCTTGAGCATCCAAAGCAATTAAAGAGAGTGAAGAGGGGTTAAAGGGGTCCCAAAAGTTCCCCTCATAGCACAGTCAGCTACAGAGGCTGCAGTTAATGAGTCAATAGTGTATAACAATGTGAAATGAGAGGCAGGCAGCTGGCATCTGCATTCAAATGGAGACTGAGCAGTAGATATAGTCCTCATCTACTGAGCTAAGACTGTGCTTATCAGACTGTAGAAAGCTTACAGTGAAAGTACACTTCATAATATCTGGAGTCATGCTTCCCTTAACAGTCGATGTGCAGCAGTGGAGAGGACTGGGGGTGTGACTGTGGAGAGTGGGATCCAGTGGGGCAGGACAGTTTGTTATCAGAAAACAGATGAAAAGAAAACCCAGACACAGCAGAAAAAAAATGCCAAAGCAGTGTTCAGCTACTCCTGTCCTCCTCGGAATAGCAAGCGAGGACTTAAAGGGGAATGCGGGAGTACTTTGATCATAGGTGGGAAAGGTTTGACTCAGATCTTGAATCGAAATTGCCAGGTCGAGCAGCTGACTTATCTTTTAAGCTGAATCTAAATGAGTTTTCTAATATTGCTGCTGGAAATGCGCTCATCTCTGCGTGCCACCCGAAGGTGTTAATGTTTGACTCTGATGCCGAGCCAAAAGTTCACCACTTTTGGAGAGCTTAAGTCGAAGACTGCCAGGCCAGATTGTGCTCCTCTTTACGCAGCGTGTGAATTCTTTACGCCAGTCAGGCCCGTTAAAAGATGTAGGTGAAATGGCATCATCTTGAAGCGTCGCCGTCGTTGCACGCGTCTATTTGTTTCTCCGAGCCTATAAACTCACACCCTCTCTGTGTTAAATGCACGTCTGCGCTCATTACTGCTCAGCAGGCTGCCAAAGTTCATCGTTCAAAACCGAGCTGGCTTTTCATACCCGAGTGTTTCCCCGCGTGTTCGCGACAAAGAGATGACACTCGGCGACGGTCCTCTGGGCACCTCTGTGTTTGTTACAGGGTCTCAAGCTTTGTGTGTCTTTGTGCTCGCGTACATCTGTCTTCCCCCGTCAATATTTGAGCATGCAGAGGAGCAAGAGAGGAAGCCAAGTTTTTAAGCTTTTGATGCGGAGCCAGGAGGAGCGGTTTAAAATCTAGGCATGCATATAAATAATAATTTACCATTAAAATTCTGCTCTGCAGTAAATAAATTATGATGTACAGACACAAACCTGAGCTAAAATAAACAAGCTGACATCAAGCGCCATTTTACATTCTGTGTTTATGGATTAGAGGAAGATCTGCAATAGACCCTTTGATGCTCGTATGTAGCATAATCTCATATCTGTTCTCGTTAGTGCCTCAAATATGCGCCTCTATGCACTAGTTGAGTCTGAAGTGGATAATGGGGGCAGTTACATAAGCTAAGATAAAACAGATAGAAGGGGATCACTTGAAAAAAAAAATCAATACACTGATATTCTTTATCTCTCACGCCTGAGGTACTCGAGCTCGATGACATAGAGAACTTCCTGAAAGACACACAGATTCAGGGCTTGGTAACATTAACACAAAACATTTGCAGACCCATGTTTACATATTATAGCTGTTAAATGTAACTTGGAGGTAGTGTCAAAAATATGTGGAAAAACCAGCAATGTGGGCTACTCTTGTTTATGTTTGGGCTGTTAGCCTTTAGCTTAGCAACTGCTGCAAAGAAGACAGAAGCTATAACTAAATAACTTTTTTTTATGGCATTTTTCCCTTATTGATAAGAAAGTGTAGACAGCATACAGGAGAACAGGAATTGCTTTGGGCGGACTCAGACCCCTGGCATAACCTCTGGCATGCAGCTTCTTTATAAATCCTCATTAAAAAGAATGAAAACATCCAACTGCAGTTATTGCTTATCCTGTCCCTTCAAATCAACTTTTCAAGTAGCCACAGAGCTAATCACATATTAGCCTTCCTGCTTCCATGTCACAAAGGACAGCACTGTTTGTCAATCAGTGCAACACCATAATTCACTGTGAAATTTCTTGACTTTTAATGGATAATAGACATTTGTGATCCCCAGAGGATGAAACATCTCAATGTGTTTTGTACTGGGGTCAAATATTGTACAGACAAACAGTCATGGTTCTCAGAAGATGGATCCTAATGTCTTTGATGGCCTAACGTTTTCTCTTGTGCTGACATGAGGTTAACATTTGTAGCTCTGAGCGTAAAATCTCTGCAATTAGTGCTATGAAATTAGGTCCACCAGTTACTGCTCACCTCTAGAGGAACAGTAATCAAGTGATAGCATCCCTCTGGTCAAAATCCTTCCCAAAGCCAACCGTGCTTTACATTTATTGCAAATTAGCAAGTGAACATACTAAATTGAGATAGTGAACATGTTACACAGTACACCTGAGGAGAATCAGCGTGTTGTCCTGCTGACATTAACATTTACCACTGAGCTTAAATTCAGGGGAGCAGCTAACACGGCTGCAGGGTAGAAATGAATTTGAAATTCTCCTCGTCCCACTTGTCTCTCCCTGTGCTTATTAGTTCAGACCATTCTCCATTATGTTGCCACACATTTTTGCAAGTACAAGTTATCAGTGGTGGAATAATTTGTTATTATCAATGTCAAAACGGGTTTCTTTCTGTAGAAATTTTCTCTACATAATAACCCAACAACACAGTGGAGACACAGTAATGTAATGTAATGCAGCTGCTTTCTGTTTATAATGAGCTACACTGCAGCCTCTCTGGAGCTGGCTGAGATTCAATATCTTGCTCAAGGACACTTCAGCACTGTAGGCAGATGCTGACATGCCACTTTGATTCATGGCTCTTTAAATGAACGGAGGTGCTAGGTCCAGCTGTGGATTTTGACACACTGTCATGCATTCACTCGGTCTCCCTGCCAGCTTAATTTTTGTCAGGGTCTCGGGAGGGCAGAAGCTTTCTTTTTTTTTCTTTTGCAGCAGGCAGAGGGTAGAAATTAAAGACACTCTCTCTGGCTACAGAGTGAACACAGTCATACCTGTGGGCAGTTTGGAGTCTCCGGGCCTCATGCCTTACTGTATATGCCTCTGGATTGTGGGAGGAAAATGGAGCTTCCTTAAGGAACCGACAAAAAATGTGGAGGAGAGGGAACCTCCAAATAAAAACAGAACTACTTTAAGAGTCACAGACGATATGTATGATGTTTTCTTTCTGTAGGTGACAATTATGACCAACCTCCTTTTTCTCATTTCTCTGGTTAAGTCAAACTAATCCTGATAATTAATTTACAAACAAGGCATACTTTTTTTAGCATTCAACATACTCTCAGTAAATGTAAGACAACTGCAAAAAGAGCCAGGCAGATGGAGAACAGATAACGGTTGTTGCAGATGGAGCAGAGATCAATCTTTAGAATGCACGCAATATTGTCTGTGTGACAGATGCAATTGGAGGTTTATACCACTGCGGCTACTCAGAAACTTTCCCAGGAATGGAGCCAATCGGGCAGCAGAGATGGCTGATGGCTCCGCAGTGTAATGTGATATGGAGCAAACCAAGGATTTACAGTGTTGATAAAATCCAATTGTGTCTGTAATAATCAGAGTTTACATTGACCTGCAGCGACAGAGCTCATAAAGCAGGACTGTGTGCTGTTTAGAAAATGTATTTTTAAACTGAACATTTTAAACCCAAGCGCACAAAGGAAATTTTAAAGGACCACAAATTTTAAAAGGTAACTTTACATTTTGAGAAATGTGCTAAAATAAAAAAGAACAACTATGATTTTGCAGGGAGTCCTATTCGTTGTAAATAACTGGCTCAGCATGAATATTGTACAGTTGTGGTCAAAGGTTTACATACTTGCCATGACAAAAATGAGGACTATGATTAAAAGCCCAGACAAACATCAGACAGAATTATGTGAGAATTAGGCCAGAAGCTTGTTAATGGTTACCAAAAAAATCTTGTTGATGTGCAACTTGCTAAGGGACATTTAACCAAATGTTGACGGGGATATGATGCTTTTGACACTGTGTGGTTTAAAAAATATCTAATACTAATATAAATTCAAACTTGTGGACTCAATTCTTTTTTCTTTTGTTTTTTCCAACTCATTATAGATGTGTGCTGTACAATCATTTCACTATGAACAAAGAACAGTTTTTTAAAAAATCATCAAAAGCCCAAAAGTATAATGAAGTTCATATAAAATGATGAGTATCTGTAACTTTAAGCTGAAATCCACAAACTTACATTTTTACATCATCTAAACTGACGTGTGAGAGCTGTGTTGTTAGTCAATTTTAGAGCTGCAGACTGGGCTCAGCTAGGCTAGCTGTTTCCCTCCATCCAGACTACATGCTAAGCTAAGTCGACTGCTTGCTATTCTACTTTAATAATTTGAGTGCAGACATTAAACTGTCATCAATTTTCTCATTTCATTTTCAGCAAGAACACAAAATTGCGTATTTTTTTTAAATGTGAGACTATTCCTTTAACGTGTTTAGCTAGTTCGTGGGTGTCTGACTTAGTTTACTTTAGCTAACTTTTTTAGCTAAATCGGCTAAATCGTGATTATTTTTACCTACAGTGAAGATGAAGGCAGAACTTCATTGATTTCATATTTTGATTAGTTTACATGCTTTCATTGGTAGTCATTTACATGCTGGAAACATTTAAAATTAAAAATGCATCACTTCATCATCTGAACTGCTTTTCCAACTATAGTAGGGGTGGTGATGAGAGACAAAACCACTCACACTCTCAGCTATAGACAGTTTAGAACCAGTCAGTCTAACAAGCGTGTCTTCGGATTGAGGGAGAAAACGGCATCACCAGGACAAAAACTCAGTAGGCACAGGGGAAAAAACGCAAATTCTACGCAGAAATGTGGCAGCATACATTCTTGCTGCAGGTCAGAGTCGCTGACCACAGAACCACTGTGCGCATGAAAATTAAAAATGTGAAATATGTTCTTAAGGTTTGGGCTTTCAGGGCCTTTGAAAAAAAATCTGCAACTTTCAAACTCTGGTGGTACCATTTTCTTTGAAGAATTGAAGCATAAATTCAGCTTGAATAAATTTTATTTTGTGTGTGAGATTCCCCCCCCCATCCCCATCCCCATCACATACAGAGACACACAAATACCTGACAAATTGCTGGTTAAGAATGACAAGAGTGACATCCTGTTCATCAGAAGCTTCACATTATAAGCAAGCTGCATAGAAAAAAAGATCTGGAAAGTGAAATCTCAGCAGAGAAAAAGAAATCACCTCAAAGGAATATACTCATGCCTCTCTCCTCCTGCCAAGTTAAATTACTATAATAAAAATCTACCAGACATATACACTACATGCACAGAGATCAGCAGAACATTGTTTCACTGTGAAGAAAGTTGTGTGGAGGTCAGACTGGCATGTGGGAAAATTATTTCAAATGAATTCAGTTAAATTCTGTAAAATCCAAAGCTATTTCTAGTGTTGAACAGGCACTGATTGCTTGTTTTTATGGTATGGCAGGCTGCTACACGGTGACCGTGAATTGCAACATCAACGCTTTCAAATAACATAAGGACTTGCCATTCCTGTGTTTGTAGCTTTTATATCAGAACATTCTCCTCATCTCTGCCTCCAGTGGCTTTTGAGATTGCTGTGTGTTAGGCCTCAGTTACACCAACCTAACACAGACTGTGAAGCAGCACTTTGCCACCAGTCTCTCCTAGCGACAGCAAACAACCTACCACACGCACCAACCAGCCAGGGGAATACACATTTTTCTCTGGTGACCAGTGGTTGCCAGATGGTTGCAGACTAGTGTGCAGGACTGGAGTGTAGCAATAATTAAATCATCCGTTCTTCCATTCGTAACTGTCTTTTCTTTAGCAAGCACTGCTTGTCTTTAGCCACTCTGTTTTGCTTGGTTTATTTGTGCTACTAATGCTTTTGAAATACTAACAAAGGTATTACTGATTCAAGTAAAATATGTTTTTTCAAAAAGAGGGATGGAATTACTTTACGTGAAGGACCAACTCACCGAAACTAAGAAAGCAGGAGAACTAATCTCACCACAGCTGTTTTTTAGTCTGTTTTGAAAAGTCACTTTTGATTTTCTCGCGTTTTGCATTATCACCCACCTCTTTTTGTCTGAAATCAGTGCAAATGAGCTTCAAACTGTGGCAGCAGTTTAGAGTTAGACTGCCAGCTAATCAGCCCGATGCATTAAATGAACCCGGGCCCCTGCTGCTTCTCGACAGCCTTTAATTTCTCGTTTGGATTTTAGTGGAAAATGTAAATGTTCGTCTGTATATTCTGCTTATCTAGGTGCGCTACGGCAAGACAAACAGTGTCTGCCTAAAATGTGATGTAATGTCAAAATGGCTGCTACATTAGCACAATCCACAGCAGCAGAGCCTTCACATTTTATTTCAAGGCCCCGGCACGGCGATTCAAAGCAAACATACCATGCACACAAACTCTTTTGTTCCTGTTGCGAGGTCTCCAGGCTGCGCTTCACGTTGCTCCCACTGGCATGACTTAGCCTGACATTAGACAGCCAGTGACGTATCGTTGCTGTTTAAAATAAACTTCTTCTTCCTCAGCAAGCAAAAGCTCTTCATGCGTGTTGTCAAACCCTGAGTGTATATGTGTAGACAGAAATAGACAGCCACCCACATATCATTAGGGAGATGGAGGGAGAGGGAGAGAGAGAGACTGGCTGTGACAGTGTGGGCGAACGAAGAGGGCTGAAGAAAATATGTCGGTCACAGTTTGACAAAGCAGCCTCACGTTTTTGAGCTCTCGGATTTAAGAGCACAAACTATATATATATATATATGTCTTATCATGAGTCCCTGTGTAGATAGGTGACGCTTAATTTCCACAGAGACAAAGGTAATAATTCAATTCCTCATGACTTCTAACTTGCGTGTGTGGGAGGGGTGTGGGCTATTTCGCTTTAGTTGTGCTCTAATGGAATTAATGGTGCAGAAGGAGTCCGCCCTCTTGTGGGGTGTTAGGAAAATTTATATTTTAGTCTTTTTTTTTCTTCGTAGTGTTCGGCAGCGCATGATATTTGTCAGTTTGGGGGAAATGTTGAGCTTCCACCTTCTTATCTAACAGATCTGTTTCATGATTCACTGTGTAGGCAGTCTACCTCTTAGCTACTCTGGTTTTATTTGAATGTGTACGAAAGCATAGTCTCAGCATTGGAAGCTGCTCTTACCTGCCTGGGATCTATTTTGAGAGTGTTTAGATAACAGAGGGTTACTGCAGGTTGACTCATACAGGCAGCTACTTTTATTTCCCCTAAACAAAGCTGATCCGCATCTCCTTGTTCCCCTGACCCCTCGACCTTTAGGAAATTGCTGAATGTGAAGATCATTGATGATGAGGAGTACGAGAAAAACAAGACATTCACAATTGTGTTGGAGGAGCCCATACTGCTGGAGGTGGGACAGAGACACGGTGAGTGGATGACATCACTGTGTGCTACATGTGCAGAATGATATGTCACTCTATTTGGTGGCTTGAGATAAATGTGTACACTCTCTATTATATTTAATTTAAATGCTTGGATTAATGCAAATTAAACCTTACAGCACAACTAATCTCAAACTTCCTCATCAGGCCTTATTCATGAAGACTGAAAGTCTAATTGATGTACTTGCTCAGGGTTAGAGTAAAAATATCATTATATTTCATCAATGTTATTTTTGAGAGCTTTTACAGTTAATCATTCAATTCAATTCTATTTATATAGTGCAACAACAGCTGCTTCAACGAGCTTTATATTGTAAGGTAAAGACCCTGTAATAATACAGAAAAAAACCCCAACAATCAGATGACCCCTATAAGCAAGCACTTGGCGACAGTAGGAAGAAAAAACTCACTTTTAACAGGAAGGAGAAAAGACACACTGTGGAAGAGAGCTGTAATTACTGTGCAATAGCTGCTTTTGCAATTGCATGTTAAATTAAACTAACTAACATCAAAAAAGTACTTGTAATACAACTGTGCTCATATCAATACTCACTCAGACTCTTTGCTAAATGTGATCATATTTTAATGATTGATGATTTGCAACCTAAAAGTACTGTGGATATATTAAAAATGTGACGTGTAGTCAGAAAATGTTTGGGAAAGTCCTGTTTATGAGACCTATTTATATTAATAACATACAATTCTGCTTATTATTTATTAAACATAATGACAATAAACACATACAAGAAACGATAAGCCAGTAATGAATGCAGAAAAAATATATCCCTGAAGTAAATTACTAAGTAGAGAATTCAAAACATAAATAACAGAATACATATTCACATAATCCACTATTATAAATAAAACCACTGACATAAATAAACCTAAATCCTCTTTTCCAAGTACTTTTTATGCTCTTGATTAAATTTTGAGTATCAACATGCAGGCTGCCGTGTTTTATTTATTTCAATACGTGTCTCCCCAACATCTCTCGTGTTGGGTTTACCAATTATGATTGGCTGATCTGTCACTCAGAGTCGCTGTAACGGACCGTAGCACACACAGAGGACTGACTTTCATTATCATCCAAGCACCATGTAGGAATTTCTTGTGCTGCTCTGCCCTAGGTGACACTAATGACAACAAGACAGCAGTGGGTCCGGAGGACGTGTCAAAGATGGGCTGCCCATGTCTGGGAGAGCACACCAGGCTGGAGGTGGTCATTGAGGAGTCTTATGAATTCAAGGTAACACAAAATCAGCAGCTTTGTAACTCAGAGCACCTGATGCCTGCTTATTTTGAAATTTCTTGCCAGCTGACATGGACTGACTTTGCAACATTAACCTGGAAAAATGCAGCAATTTCACTGATGTCACAGTATTTTGGGTTAATATATATTTTACTTTTGATGTGTGATAAATTATGCAACTCATGAATCTTCCAGTAGATGTGTTCACGCATCATTCAGCTTGAATAGTCAGAGTTAAAGAATTTATATCATTTGCCATAATGCAGAATTTATAGCAGTACTCCATCTGTTTTGTATTGATAAGTTGGGTGTTTTACAAGAGACAATAAATGGTAAGTGAACCGGTACTTAAATAGCACCTTTCTACTCGGTTCAAGCACTCAGAGCACTTTTTATTGAAAGTTTCATTCTCCCAGTTCCACACATATTCATACAACACTTTCATCTAAGCACTTTATCTAACGTCCACAGACACACTCAACACATGCCGATGGCTGTGTTGAGGGCAGCTCAGGGTTTAGTATCTTGCTGAAGGATACTTTGACATTTGGACTGGATGAGCAGTGAATTGATCTCAACTCAGGAAAAAGTACAAATTTTTAAAAAAGAAAGAAACTTCAGTTACCTTAACACAACATGATATTAGGCCCAAGTGGCAACCTCAGAAGCTGGACAAAGAAGCCAGCCAAAAAAGTAATAATAATAAAAATAATAAAAGTAATAATAAAATGCTGCTAATTCCGAAAACAAGCTCATTTCCAGAGACTCTCTTTAGAACAGAATTAAACAAATTTACAGCCCAGTAAGAAAAGGCACTGGGATCGCTACTGCTAATTTTGGTATTCATGAAAAATGTGCTGAGGATGACTATTTATTTAATTCACTTTAAGTTATATCCAGACTTTAAGTTATGTTTTATTAGAGGCATGGTGTCTTTCTGTGACGGGTAGGTGCTGACGCATAAGAAAAGTCACTGAACTCTGCCTGTGAGCTAAATTTGTGGTGCCAGTGCCATTTGGAGCTGAAAATCTGATTGATGAGAGAGTGGTGTGCTAACGTACTAGCTAACGCTAGCAACCTTGGTTAGCAAGTAGCATCCATAGATTATATGGCAGCAACAAAATGACCTGCTGATTATTTTTCCTGCTAATAAAATACTAATACGTCACTCACCAAATCTGGAGTTCTTGGATGAGCTGTAATAAACAACAGGCCATATTCTTTATCACATAGTTGTACACAAACATCAATATCGGCACAACTGTCAATCAACAAATGTTTGTGCTCCGCTGTAAGCCCTGCAGGTAGAATAATGCTCTTTTTACCTTGGAGGTCGAAGCTAGGCGTGGCTAGCTGAAAGCATTTCAGTAGCAGTCAAAAAAGCAGGTGCTTCCTAACACAGAGAGAAGATTCATCCATCAATAGACTCTGTTCATGAATAGAGCCTAATCAGTGCTTATCTAGTGAGTCATAAATGCACAACAGTAGTGGTATAGATTACATGTTCCAACATTTACTACTATTTAGTAAGTAAGTACTGCCTATTTACAAGATGCCATGTTGGTGTTTTGAAACCACAAGTGGTGAGGAAGGGGCATATCTGACTGCCCCTCCACATGCTCATTAGCTAACAGCTATGAGCTGTATGCAAGTATACAAAAGGCTAATCCCTTTTTTCAGTCCTGGAAAAGAAGTCTGTGTTAGCATTTTGTTTTTGTTTTTTTCATTACAGGAAATAATATTATGGTTCTAGGAACCTGTGGCTGTGCAATACACCTGCACAGCTAATAAATGTGTCACGCTATCATGCTAACAAAGCTAGCTAGCATCGGGTCTCCACTTTATGGTCACCTCTGGCAAATATAATTAAATAAATAAAGAATGTGACCTGTCCACTCAACTTAAGGCTTTAAAACAATAATCCAAAAAAACAATGACTGATATGTAGTGATGGCATTTTATTTTTGTGATCATGAAATAAATAACCCTCTGTTTGATGTGTAGTCTCCAGTCACAATCTGAGCTAACCCTTATCAGATAACTATGACATCATCGCCATTATACTTGTGCTGGAGCTACACAGATACCACAGATTCATACTGCAATCCTCTGCACAAGTAAACTGATCCTTCAGCTTAAAATGGGTGGTGCAGCGCTCTGAGACAATTTAGGAACATTTAAGCTGTAACATGATACCGCAGTGATATTAACAGCTGCAGTTTCATGAGTTGGCTTGTGTTTCTTCACTGCTTTAAAGCAGCTTTATGCTCGCACACTCCCTTTCTCCTGGGGGCTACTGGGATTTTGTGCTCGCATCTGTTTTGATGACTCACCATTGCTTCACACTGGGAGGACAGAAGCTGGTAATTGTATCTTGATTCACCACATCAGTGTCCCCAGTGTCATACAGCACTAAGATTGTACTGAGTATGTTATTCAGTGTGTGTTAATGCACCTTTCTTCTGCTTTCCTTGCAGAGCACAGTGGACAAGCTGATCAAGAAAACGAACCTGGCTCTTGTTGTAGGGAGCAGCAGCTGGAGAGAGCAGTTTGTTAGTGCCGTCACTGTCAGCGCAGGTAAGTCGCTGCGTCCTGAAATGTCTCATCTGTTCATCCCTCTGAAGGCAGTCCTCAAGAAGATTGAGCCTGCAGGCTGGATCCGGTCCACCAGCTGCCTGTTGTGCAGCGCTCACTTAGATATGTTTTTAAAATAAAATTCAAAATGCTCCGTTTAAGATTGCATAAAGAAAAAAACATCCCCAGTTTAACGGAAAGAGTTGAAAGAGCTTACAAAAACAAATGCTATTTTAATTCATTTTTGATCATTCTGAGCTTATTTGCTGCATCCATTTAAATCCAGACAGTTTATTAAAAATGCATGATGAGGCTCATCATAAAAACTAAAAGGGCCGGCTCTTCCTCAACAATTAATGGCTCTGAAGAATTAATGACGATGTTTGTGGTGTGGTGAATCTTTTTTGGGGGGGTCTTTCCAAAGCTGTCTGTGAACCTTTTAGATCTGCACTAGTGCACAAATCATTGGGCTAAAAGCTCACTTAGACTCCTGTGATGTGTCATTTGGTTAACATGCTCTTTTCTTTATTTTCTCTCTCTTGCTGGATGGAGAAACTCATTTGCATTTGCAATGTGCATATTTAAGATAGAAAGTACACTTCCAGCATGTCTCTGATTTGAAAAGGATTGCTCAAAGATGCTGAAGGTTTTACTGATCTAAAATATGAAGATGAATATCATGACAAATTGGCACTAAATTTCTGAAAAGTCAGGATTTTTTAGTGCTCATTCACTTCCACAGTTTGGGTCTGAGCTGTATTATGATAAATATGATGATATTATAAATTATAATGTAATCTCCTGCCCTCAGCGATGGCTGTTGCTGGAATGGTAGCTCTACTAATTGTTGTGCTTTGGTCGCACGATGACACATTTGTTTTTAAATGGTGTGACACTAACTACGAGCCCCGCCGCATGTGTGTAGTGCACTGAATTGTGACAACTGCAATGACTGCTGTATTGAAGCCACTGTATTCCTGTCCTCCTGTGGTGTATTTGTTACACGTCTTTCTTATCTAAGCACAACTGGTCTAAATCCCATTTGGCTTTAACAAGGATTTCTTGGCTGTAGATAACAGGAGCAGTATAGAGCAGTCACAGAATGGCTATGATAACAACAGGAATGGCCACATACCACAAAAGCAGCCATTGTCCAAACAATATCCACATTCACAGTTTCATCCAACAGCAGTGCATATTAAATCTTCTCTCCATTTTACAGTATCTGTAGAACATTTCCCAAAACTGCCAGTGTCTGAACAAACACAGTAACTGAAACTAAAATTATATCGATTTCACGGTGGCTTTACGGTGCTCTGTAAAGCCAAACAGTGGTCTACATGAAGGTTGTGTTTCGCAGGCTTTCATGCATCTTTTCTGTCTTTGCTAGGTGACGACGATGAGGAGGAGAGCGGGGAGGAACGCTTGCCGTCCTGCTTTGATTACATTATGCACTTCCTGACAGTTTTCTGGAAGGTCCTCTTTGCTTTCGTCCCACCGACTGAATACTGGAACGGCTGGGCCTGCTTCTTTGTCTCTATTTCCCTCATTGGCGTTCTGACAGCTGTGACCGGGGACCTGGCCTCACATTTCGGCTGCACAGTCGGTCTCAAAGACTCGGTCACCGCAGTGGTGTTTGTGGCCCTCGGCACTTCTGTTCCAGGTGGGCATCTGTGCTTGTCGTTCAGTCCTACCAGCGGCCTTGTCCTGTGTCTCCTCTGGGCTTTTCCCCTGTGGCAGAAGCAGCTGCTTGTGTAACCTTATCCTCCACCTGTGCTGTCAGAGGGATTCTCTCCAAAGCTCATGCCTTGGATATTAACAAGTTGTAAACAGAGAAAAAAAAACCTTGTTTCACTTGTTAGTTTCGCCCTAATTATAGTCCCATTTTGCTATTTCCTAAACACTAACGCTGAACACAAAAAATGACTATGAAAATTAGTTTTTGGTTTAATAAACAAGGGTTGCCAACTCGCACGCTTTGAGACTCCATCTTATCCTCTCATGCTTCCCTAAAACCTCCCGTGCCAAATAAGAGAAAGCCATGAAGCCCCCCTTTTTGAAAAAGTCACCAGTAATGAATGTAAACTAGGTCTTAATATAAGAGTCAAATTCTCGTGTTTTCAGTTGTTCAATAATCCCTGAACTTGACTTCAGTAATTAGCCAGCTTAAAAATAATTATTCTTGACAGTCAGAAAACAACATTGTGTTTTTTTACACTGCAGACAAGTGATCTGTCACATACAGAGTCACAGTTTATTAGCTACACATATATTATTTGATACATAACGGCATTTCTCTCGAGTCTTGAACTCCTTGACAGCTGGGGGCCCATTTTTATTTTACTGTGAGTAAAAGTCAGATCTGTTTACGAGCCAAACAATGTTTCATCAATGAGAGAAAGTTTTCTATTTTGCAGTTTCACAGTAGGCTATTGGCTGTATTCCCATAACCACATATAGGATGTGGTCCTTCTAATCATTAATGCAGGGCCACAAGACTACAACAGCCTAATAACAATTTAAGTACACATAGAGTACCATGGGTGGCTATAGTTTTATGAGAACAATATTACACAAAAACAGTGTTATTTTCAGCTTTCATCTTCAGCTTTTCAGCTTTAAATAACTGAGTTTCACAAAAATCTGGGTTGATTCTGTTCATCTGGACGCAGCATTTTCAGTGGGAGAAATGTTTCGTCACTCATCCAAGTGACTTCAGTCTCAGCTGACTGCAGCTTTCCCCAGCTTTATAAACAGTACATCGCACAATGACTGAAATTAGCCCACTGGACAAGGGGCTGTGAGGTCGCTAATCATTAATATGCAAATTGTCATGACCATTGATCAACAAACAGTGTTGGGAAGGTTACTTTTAAAATATATTCCACTACAGATTACAGGATACATGGCCCAAAATGTAGTTTGTAATGTATTCCGTTAAGTTATTCAATGTGAGTAACGTATTCTGAATACTTTGGATTACCTAATATATTGTCTTGCTTTTTACAACTACATGAATGTACTATTGCTGTGTGATTTATTACTGAAGGCTCTACTCGCCACCGAGCTAACATTGTTAGCTAGCATTAGCTGAGGTTAGACTTGATGGATAGCATTAACAACCTGCTAGCTGCAAATAATCATGTGCAGTTCTGAAAGCAATACCAACTAGATTTTAAAATCTTAATATAAAATGAGTAACAGTAGGGTGGACATTAGGTAAGGCTGCAGTTTTTGCAGTGATCTCGTATAGAAAACTATTTCTGTATCAGTAATATGTTTTCTTTCTGTCTGCTTTCAGAACTGCACGTGATTATTTGCAGCTAACAGGTTGTAATGCAGCCTTCATTATTAGTAATAAATCACACGGCAATAGTACAGTGGCACATAGCCCAGGTAGCTACCACATCTAAAACAAGGTAGCTGCAGTAGGCTACGTTTCTTAAGGTTGGAGGTGGAGTCGTTTGACGCTGAGAGCAGCTTGGTTGCTGACAAACAGAGTTTGCATTACTCGGTCAGATGTGAAGTGGTGTCGGAATTTCCAAGTAAGAAATGAATTCTTGCCCGTGCACTGCTGGCTCTGTTGTGCGGCCTTTCGGTCCATTGTGTAACTGACGCCCCACCAACATTAACAGGACGCTTAGATACAGCCTCTTATTGAGTGTGCTGTTTGGGTTTTTGGCAATGTGTGGAATTATGAATATTAAAGCAAAATTAGACCATTGATCAAAGACCACTGATATATGGCCATGAGTACGATTCACAGAGAGTTGGGGAATGTCTGCAATCACGGCATTTTAAGATGGTGAAAGATGCACCCTTAGCCCCCCCTCTTCAATTCAGAGATGGTCTTTCCTTTTTTCACGTAAATGGCCTCCTTGACTCCACGCTCAAACCAGCGTTCCTCCCTGTCCAGGATATGTACATCCTCATCATTAAAAGAGTGTCCACTGGCCTCTAGGTGTAAATAGACTGCGGAGTCCTGGCCTGACGAGGTTGTGCCATCCACTTCGCCAGAGGTTGTTTGCCATGTATAAATCATGGCAATCCTCCAGGCACTTAACAGAGTACACTACACTACTCTGCTTGTGTCAGAGGACCCGATCCTTGAGGTGGACCAGTTTTTGGCACAACATGTTTAAAAGCCAAGGAGACGTGGTGTTTAGAAAAAATGTGTCTCAACCCTTTGGGATTTACTTACCTGGATGATTGAGCATGCATCAAGACAATAACTGTTTACGACAATTTTGAAACACAACTAACATCACTTTAAATGTAAGTGTTGTTTTTAATACTTGAATGAAAACCCTTTTTAGTCAACGACTGGAAACATGGACATCACCAAATCCTGTGTTTCTTCCTTTGCATTACTCTGGCAGGCCTTTACTCCAGCCATCTCCAGCTGCTGCTTGTTTTTGAGTCTCTCTTTTTGAGGGAGTTTGTATCAGTATTGATTCAAATGACTATCTTAATACAATGTTAATTTTATTATCTATTTATATTTATATATTGATATTTATATCTGAGTATGATTTTTGTTTTCTGTGACAACCCTTTTTTCCAGGAAAGCCTAATCAGACTTTCATGTTTTTAAGTGTAATCAGAGGTTTGCACCTTGTTATTCTTGTCTTTGCATTTCCATTCCAAAAAGCATGTCTTCATTGTAGATTCATAAAATAATCCAGTTTTATACCTCCTATTGAGTGTTCTTGACGGAATCGATGAAACCAACCAAGAAATAACTTCTGCAATCATACACTTTAGTCTTCTGTAGTTATTTGGGATGTGTGGTATTGCTGAGCTGAACAGTCCATTTATTCGTTGTAACCATGATCTAGGTTGTTGATTTGGCCACTCTTACAGCTTAGGCTGTGTTCCTAAGTTTTTCCTTTGAACTTTCAGCCTAATCATGGCCTCGTTGCATTTGCACGGACACTTTGGACTTACATGCTAAGAGTTCCAGTCACAACTACTAAATCAACTCCAGATCTTTAATGGCTTAATTTGTCATGGAATAATAGGTAAATATGCCTCATCTGGCCCTGAAATTACTTGTAAGTCAACTGTCCAATTATTTTTGAGCCTCTGAAATTGGGAAACTATATACAGTATAATAATGGCGGTACTTCCTGAATTAAGGCTTGAATTTCATTAAATACATGTAGTGCTTATTGTACAGTCCCTGGTGTTTGTGGCACCTGTACTCTGTCTGTGCACATTACTGATTACTTATATATATTTGCCTATTTCTCTCTCTTTTACAGACACTTTTGCAAGTAAGGTGGCTGCCATCCAGGATCAATATGCTGACGCCTCTATTGGAAATGTGACGGGCAGCAATGCGGTCAACGTGTTCTTAGGCATCGGAGTGGCGTGGACCATTGCATCAGTTTACTGGCAAACCAAAGGCAAGGTGTTCAAAGTGAACCCGGGGTCCCTGGCCTTCTCCGTCACCCTCTTCACCATCATGGCGCTGGTGTGCGTGCTGGTGCTGCTCTACCGCCGACGTCCCGCCGTGTCTGGAGGAGAGCTCGGTGGCCCACGGACAGCCAAGCTTCTCACCTTCTTCCTCTTCCTCTCTCTCTGGTTCATCTACATCCTGTTGGCCTCCTTGGAGGCGTACTGCCACGTGCCTGGCTTCTGAGACAGAGGGAAAGGCACAGACACAAGTCCTTTCCTTGTTTTTACAATTTACTGAACGTGTTTTCTCTCCGTTTTTGTCTATTTTCACAAAGGTTTATAACTATTTGTATCATTAGTTATTATTAATACGGCACAGTATCTGACTGACTCTGATTCTTTGGACTTTGGTACTTTGCTCCCACCTATGCTGTGAAGGATACCTTTAGCCACTGAAAATGAAGCTCTCTTGACTTTATTCCTTTTTTGAAATATTATATCACATGACACATTTATCTAATCATTTCTATCACCATAAATTATATTCTGTCACTTGATCCATACAGACAGCTTTTGGCATTGGATCCTTTCTCTCTCTGTGGACAAATTATTTGAATTTTTAGATGTTAAGAAAGCACAAGATTGAAGAAAACGTCTAGAAGAATTCTCCTTTTTGGCCTTTGTTATATAGCGGAAACTTAAAGATGGTGCATGGGACGGCATTAGATAGTACTTGGCATTTACATTAAGTGGAAGACAGAAGTGACCAGTAAAACATATTTGTGTGATGATATTTATTACTTAGTCTGTACAATGATTCATTGTATATCATGTAAAAGATGAACATTGTGCGTGAGAGTGTTGTGAAAGGTGTGCTTAGTTTTGCACGTTATCAGATAACAACAGTTTCTTGGTAATATATTTTAAAGTACTGTATGTAATATTTTGACATGGGTGTTGATGTGTTGATGTGTTTGTGTACATGTGAATCACAGCTGTATCATACTCTATTCACTGCCTGGTGCACTGTCATGTTTGACATAGCCAAGGGTTTTTTTTTGGAAAAATAGCCTTTTTTTTTAAGTCAACCTGAGCAGAGTGCCTGCTTTTAATTGTACAAATAGTTTAAGCACATTTATGATTTTTGTGTATGCGTGTGTGTAGGTGGTGAGTGTGTGCTCTTTTGCACTCCAGCACAAATTGTCAAAAAGCATGGCACTGTCTCCATTTTGGGGTGGTTTGTTGGTAACAGAAGAGAAACAGAATTTGAATATGGATATTAAAAGGACTGCAGTTTTCTTATCTGTCATGCTGACACTGTGAACATTATTCAACAATATCTCTTTTAGGAAAAGCACAGCAGAGAGCAAACGGGCTCTTTTAAATGAGAGTGGAGTACACTTTGTCACATCACAATCACCAAACAAGTCCGTCATTTGACATGGAAAATGTGCTAAAAGAGAAGACATGTACAGTGTGTCCCGAGAGTGTCTCCTTGTGTTGCTCAGCAGTTGATACTGAAATCTGTTTTTTATTTAACCTAGAATCTGTAGAGCCATATTTATTGTAACAGTATAATAGTAGAGGTATTTATATGATCGATTTTAGTTTTATTGATATGCACGTTTAATGTATAAAAAAAGTGGAAATAAATGTTGCTCATTTATTATGCCGTTAGACGCCTTGTCATCTTAATTTAACTTTTTGAACGATGGTTTAGATTATACAAACCAACCAGGTCGTCATTGACTCTCACAAACTACTCTTAATAAAGTTAAAAGTACAGTCAGCTAGAGACTAGCCAAAGAGTTAGCATGCTAAAGTAAAGTCAAAGAAAACCTTTAGGCATTCATGTGCTGTGGAGAGAAATTTTAATTCATGTCTGTACAGTCAGGCTCCAATTATGAGGGATGACACCTGTGTTTTATCATCGGAGAAGCGGAGTCTATCACCATATAAGCAAAAATGCAAATAAGAAAGACAAGACAGCTAGCATCTGGAAAAAATAATCATTCCTGACTTCTGGCTTCATCTCCTGAACTAAAGTGAGGGCTTTAAAACATGAAGACATGCACAAACATGCTTATTTATTCCCAATATTGTCAGCAGATTAGACATATAACCATCCTGTCTCTGGACAGCTGACAACGAGAACAAACTGGGCTCTCTGTCCTGGTCGTTGTGTCCCTGGGCAAGACACTTTACCCTACCGCCTACTGGTGTTGGCCAGAGGGGCCGATGGCGCGATATG